ACACCCACACGACGAGCTATCAAACGTGGACTGTACTATGTAGACAGCAACTCAATCCTCCAACCTCATGTTGCTTCTTGTTCTTGGTTCGTGGTTCGTTGTCCCTAAGCCGAAGCTATTCTCTGGTTTCCACCACCATCGACATCATCATCCTTGTCGACATCATCATCAGCCGCAACGTCGGCGTCTCGCCAACACAGCTGCTCCTTGACACATCCACGTGCATTTGTGTGGGACCCACCCTCAACCAACGTAAGCTTTTCATGACAGCAGTGCCCAAGGGTACTGTCAGCACACAAGGAAATACATGTATGCACACACACAGCTGTACGCGTACATTCCTTCGCTTACACCACACGTTCTTGGATCACCGCATGCTTGTGCGTATATGTGCAGCATGAAGAATCGATGAGCATGCTGAAGACGGTTGCACGGGAACTCACCATGACAGCAGCAGACATGTCGCGGTGAGTGGCGCGGCCTGAGTTGTGTGTGTATGTGTATGTGTATGTGCATGTGTATGTGTATGTGTATGTGTATGTGTATGTGTATGTGTATGTGTATGTGTATGCGTATGTGTATGTGTATGTGTATGTGTAAGTGTATGTGTATGTGTATGCGTGTGTTTGTTTGGAGAGCGACGATGTGCTGCACCTCTCACGCTTCTCACGCTCCCTTGCACACCACTGCATCTGCTCCCTTTGCGTGCCCATGTGCCGTGTTCATTAGCGCGAAAGAGAAAGCGCAGCAGTTTGCTGATCGCGACACGGAGGCGTTTGAGGTCGTCGGCCAATTTTATCCGCAGGTGCTACTCCATGCTCGTTGATTGATCCTTTCGTTGCCTTGATACCTGCACACACACACACACACACCAGCACGCATGTATGAATGTGTGTATTCACACACACACACACAAACACACAAACACACACACGCACATGTTCACGCATGTGCTGTTTGACAGCTGAAGGAGCCGCATCTTCCGGCAACGCGGCCGGCGTCACTTGCTGTCGAACAGCGACCCGAACACGTCGATGGGGGTGTGATGTGCACACACACAGCCACACAGACACACAGACACACACAGACACACAAACACACCAACACACACACACACACAGCCACACAACCACACACACACACACACAAACACACAGACACACAGACACACATTTGCATGCCAGCGATCAACTTGACCTGATAGTGTGTTCGCTTGTGGTTACATTCCATTCCCCGAAAAACCCTCAACGGATCAACGATGGCAGACGACCACAAGTTGCTGTGGCGCCAGTTGGGCACGCGTCGCCAGTTTGAATCGCTGCCGCCAACGCTTCTCTCCATTGGTGAGAGGACGCAGCAATGGCCCCCATCATAATCCCTGGTGGTGCTGCTGCTGCCATGTCGCTCGTTGCTGCCCATTACCACCGCACATCCTCACCCCGTCTGCATGCGTGTGCGTGTGCATGTATGTGCGTGTGTCTTACCGTGGTTGTGCAGAGGTTGTGTATGCGTACATCACAGATCTTGCTGGCCGCGTGCTCGCCCACGACGTACAGCTCGCCTTTGGCACCGCCACCAGTGAGGACGACGTCATCTCGTTCCAGCAACACATGTACAACATGTTTGACGACCGCTTTCCCCACGCAGATGCCGCCACGCTCGCCATCCGCGACTTTCTCTTCTGTACGTGTGTGTGTTTGCTCTGGGTGTGTGTGTCGTGCGTGTGTGTATGTGTGTGTATGTGTGTGTCGTGCGTGTGTGTATGTGTGTGTGTGTGTGTCGTGCGTATGTTGCTCCCTCTCTTTGTTTTTGTGTGCCGTGTTCGTGCGCACATCCACGGTTCGCCCCTAAATTGCAGCCGCTTCTTCCCCTCGTACGTTGCGACCGTTGGTTCGTACTCGCGTGTGCACGTGGCCTCTGGCGGTGTGCGTTCGTTTGCACCTCAGCTGTAGAGCATCACAGCAGCGCCGATCCACTCGTACAGCTGCTCTTCTTCTCGCTCGTCGGAAAGCAGGATGTGTCATCGCTTATGCACTACACAATCGTCCACATGGTGCGTCCTGTGCTTATCATTGTGTGTGTGTGCGTCGCATGTTTGTATGTATGCGTGTGTTGAATTGTGCTTTGGCTCGTGATGATATGTGTGTGTGTGTGCATGTACACTTCAAAAGCATCCACCCACCCATGCATTCCATCTTCCATCCACCCGCGTTTCCTCACCGGCCACACGCTCGTCTCGTTCTTCCACACATGTTCAGTTGATCCACACGTTGCAGCTCTCAACGCCCCAGCACCTCTCCTGGCTCATGACGGAGCTGTTTCCAGACTCGGTGGGGCAAGCGTTCATGTCTCGTGGCATGCGTGTGTGCGTGTGTGCATGTGTGCGTGTGCGTGTGTGCATGTGCATGTGCATGTGCGTGTGTGCATGTGCGTGTGTACGGTGCATTTCAGTGTGCTTTGTCCGGATGTACCAACTTGCTTATCTTCCATCCATGCTTCCCCGTGCCAGCTTACATGACGCGTTTGCTGTACATACGTTCTTCCCCCCTCTCACCGTGTTTCCACTGCTCCAACCAGCACCTGTCACTGGACAAGCTGATGCTGGCGTACACGGGCTTTGCTGATGGCGCCCCGTCCTCCGATCGCCTCTCCCGCTTTTATCTCCGCGAAACCGCTGCGCGCGACTGGAATCCAGCAGCAGCCGAGGTGGAAGGGATGATGGAGGAGGAGGGACGGGGGTGTGCGTGGTTGCTCTGTGTGTGCGTATGTGTGCGTCTCTGTGTGTGTGTGTGTGCGTGTGTGTGTGTGTGCGTGTGCGTGTGTGCGTGTGAATGTTCGTGGGCATGATCGTGTGCACGCACGACTGCGTTTCCAAGTACATCCTCTTTCCCAACAGTCACCACCACCACCACCACCACCACCACCACCACCACCACCACCACCACCACCACCACCACCACCACCACCACCACAACTGACACGTCATGACCGCCATAGATTGTGCGCGTTGCTGCGGAGGTGGCCGGTGCGCCGCCAACGGGCTCGAAACCGCTCAGCGTCATCAAGTGCGAACGCATCAAGCACGCGCTCCATCCACACGTTCCCGACCAGGTATGCGTGTGCGTGCGTGTGTGTACATTTCGTAAGTGGCATGTGCATGCACTCTGACGGCAGCGAGATGCTCGGTCTCTTGGGTCGTGCTTTGGTTGGTTGACTGGATGCTTCTTTGGTTGCATTGATATTGATTGCATTTCCCACCTCCTTGGTATCATGTGGAATGTCCTGCACACAGGTGCTGCGGCTACTCTACGAACAATCCGCCAAGATACATGGGTATGTGTGAATGTGTATGTGTGTGTGTGTGTGAAGGTGTGTGCGTGTGCTTGTACCAGTGAATCATGCTGTGTGTCGTGTCCCTCGTGGCTGCGGCTCTCTGCATTGTCGTTCTCGTCACACACACGCACAAACACACACTCACACACACATACACACACACACACACTTTCTCTCTCTCTCTCTCTACTGCAGGGTGGATGCTGAGTTGCCGTCGAGTGTGTGCACGTGGCTGCTGCTCCACGCACGCTTGTTGTTTGAGACAGAAATGGTTCGACTCAGCCTCAAAGACAGACTGGTACGTCCTCTCGTGCGTGTATGTGTTTGTGTGCATGAGTGTGTGTGTGTGTGTGTTTGTGTGTTGATGATCATCACGACATGACATCACCTTTGCTCAAACTGGTGTTGCGTTCCGTTCGGTACCCTCGCTACTACAACTCACATTGGCTGCCCTTCGCTGCTTCCTGCTTCCGTTCATATGTCACACGACAAACGCAACCAACACAACCGCAACACACAAAACAGGACGGGCTGTCTGAACAGCAACTGCTGGTGAACAAGCGGAGCCGCCTCGTGCAGCTGAAGCAAGAGCTCGCACCAAGAAGTGGACGGGCAAGCACGTCGTGATGTAACGCTGGACACACACACACACACACACACACACACACACACACACACACACACACACACACACACACACACACACACACACACACACACACACACACACACACACACACACACACACACACACAC